CGATCACCTTACTGGTCTACTGATGAGCTAAAGAATACAAATCCCGGGGACGGACAAAAGGCGGACATCTTGACAAAAGCTCTTGGAAGAGTCAAGTTCAAGGAAATGAGAGATCTCATTGGAGTAAGAGACTTGAAGGAAGAAGACTTCAAGCTTAGGAGGGTGAATGTTGGTTTAAGTTTGAAGTCAACTTGAGTAACAAGTTATCCTAGTCCTAAACCGAGTTATGGTTAAAGAGATAAGGATTATATGTTTTAGGAGTTATCTAGACATAAGTGTTTCCTTATAGGATTAGGATTGGTGTTATTATAAATAGAGATGTCGAGTAATGACATAAGGTGTGAGTTTGGAGAAAGAGATTGAGAGCTTAAGTTTTTGAGAAAGTTTTCTTAAGCTAATAAAGGGTTTTTACAATCTTGAGTTCTTACAAACAAACATTCAGTTTCTATAAAAAGGAACTTTAAATTTGAAGCTTAGGGTTTCAAATTTAACGAATCAATATTGGATCATGAATACGTTTATTATATATTCAAACCATCACAATGTTAATCATATAAATTAAGCTGTTTTAATTTGTGTATAGAAGAACTAAATGTTGTGGTGGTGATGAGTGATATGACTGCTATTGTAGGCCAAGAAGCTATGTCGCGTGTGCGCATATACATAGACATTTGCTCGTACGGACGTAAATGAATTGGAACAAAATAACTTTGTAGGTCCTTTTGTACACGACATAGCTAGATATGATCTCTTCTAGCTACTTTTACCTAGTCGTCTCGACCAAACTCGTACAATATAAATCTCGGAATGATATCAAAATAGATTGCAAAATATATGACTGAGCCAATGAGAAGCAGACAACATATACGATGTAACTGTCCAATCTTACACATTTGAGGAGCATACACACACTTTGTTCTCTGCAAACGAATCTCAAGGATGAGAGGATTCTCACTAACATATGATAAGCCACTTGACTCTCAGGGCCGGTCCTAGATCATTGTAGGCCTAAAAAGCATTTTTTTTTAAATGTGGCCTTCATATATATATATATATATATATATATATATATATATATATATATATATATATATATATATATATATATATATATATATATATATATATATATATATAGAGAGATTTTTTGAGAAATACCCATTTTGGTGTTTCTCATTTTCAAAAATACCCCTTTTATCTATCTATTTTCAAAATTACCCCTGTTTAAATATGAAAAATTATAAATTTTTAGAGAATTTTTGAGAAATACCTCTTTTGGTGTACCCTTTTTTAAAAATACCCTTATTT